CAGGGGGTATTTATATCGATTACTATCCAATAACCGATTAACATCGATAGTAATCTCCTTGCAAATTTTGGTGATGTATGCTAGACTATTTAGAGAAAAGTTCACAGCATCTAATATTTATCAGTTTGGGTAATATTCTAACTGATCTTTGAAATAAAGCTGAGGCTAAGGCACTTGTTGGTATTATATCAACATTACAGGGAACAAAGGAAAAAGGCAAATGCCACAGTTTAGACAATTGGTTCGATCAGGTTTTCACAAATGTATTAATAACTTAATTGAACCATTACGTTTACAGTATCATTCGGAAGTATTATTTAAGATTAATAATTATAATATAAGATGTAATATTATGTTGGCCTCTATTATAGGAGACTGGCCTAAAAACTGTAAATTATGTTTAACTTACAGTAGAACAAGTTGTGTACACCCTTGCCATACTTGTCTTGTAGAAAAAGATAAGCTAATTGTAAGGTTACTTGAACAGAAAATTATATGAGACAAGTTATTGAAATGGAACAAGGCAAAGAATATTCATTACATGAAGAAACCAATAGTTTTTGGAATCATCTATAAGTGGTTTGTCAATTACAATTTAAATAAGTCTATACAAAATTAATTTTTTGATCCTTATAATATAAAATTTTAAAATAACCTGTTAACTTGGCTTTTATTATGTTGTAGAAATTTTAATGTTTATATGGCAACAGTACCTGAGCGGATGTACCATTTAGATCTTGGGCTTTTTTTGTATATAGTCAAATTTACACAGGATCTCTTGAAAGTTTGTGATGGTAATAAAATAGATCAAAGACTTGAAGGGATATCACGTTTTCTGGAACTAAAAATATTCAAAACTGGACTTGGAGATCTTTCTTTATTTATTGTATTAGAATACAGGCATATGATGAAAGTGATACCTTTCATTCTTAAAGGTCTTTTTGAACAAAAAAAAAATGAATTGCTTGTTCAAATATTTGTTGAATAGAACAAAATGTATTCTTATTTAAAACAATGTGAATTTACACAAACTGATTTTGTTCAGTTTGAGGTTAATTTTTTTTTGTATTAAATTATTTTTAAACTTATACTAGTAAAATTACTAGCACTAGTTGATTTTTTTTAATAGATATCAATTCAAACGTGAGCAAAAAATTTTGTTCAAATTCTTAGCTTATTCTCAAAAAATGAATGACAATTTTTAAAATTTCACCATTGGATTCATCATACAATTGAAACAATTGAAGAATTCAGGAATCTAAATTGGTTAAGTGCTAAGACATATGAAGCACTTCATAAGCAGTATATTAAAATTCCTTACAGGATGTCCAACAAACATAATATTAATGAGCAGATTTTACAAAAGATAGTATACTTAGCAATAAGAATTTTTAATTGATAATTAAAATTATTAATTTGTATGTATGCATTAATTATAAACTTATTAGATAATAAGAACAATCACTATCAAAGATATTTATAAGCACATTGTTTTAGACAATTACCCATCAAAAATTAAAAACAATGTGGGAAAATTTGGAAAAAAATATTGTTCAATACTTTTGCATCTTCTTAAGTCACTTGTTGAATCATATAAGAATGATGAAGAAAATGTTTCTAAAATTCTTAAGAGTTTACAGTATCTTGTTTCTGCGATGAATGTCTATTTTAAGCTTTTACCTTCTATGTTTAAAAAAAATATAGAGAAAGCAGATATAAATTTAATTTTATATGAATTCTTTATGTTACCTAATAAAGAACAAGTAAGAGCTACAAAAAACTATTATAATGCACTAATGTTTGGTGATGTTGCTATTTTTATGGACTCAGAACAAGAATTTGAAATATATAATAGGTACTGCTTTGTAAAGGTATATATAGTAGTTTAAATAAAATATATTTAAACATTGTAATTTATATTAATTATTTTAATATCATAGATTTTATTATTAGTTCGTGTTGTACTAGAAAGTACTTCAATATTTGACCTTGCACTTATTTGTTGGTACAATTTTAAATATCTGAATACCCCTTTAAAATTCTATAAATATAAGTATCTTTATTTGCAATTTACAAATATTTACAATATGATTTCAATATCAATTAATAATGTTATTCATATTGTTCCACAGTTTGATACAATCAATTCATATTATGTTAATATTTTCATTTAACTGTATGGAATTTTTATTAATGTTTTCTATATGTAATTTATAGCTTTTAATTTACAAAAATATGTACACGTATCTTGTATTATGTTATATGTAATATTAAGTTTGCTATAATTAGATATATAATTAAAAATATTTAAAATGAATTGTATGATTTGAGCAATAGAAACAGGCAAACAGCTATCATTAATTTTTTTCAATTCTATATATAGTGTTTCTATGAACCTAAACTGAACTGAACTTTGGTCAAGTTCAGGTTCAGGTTCAGTTCAATCAGGTTCAGTATTGAACTTTTAAGTCAAGTT